CGCAGCATCATCGCGTGGCTCGATCGTGATGTCGCTTTTAACAGCAGCATGGCCGCGTGCTGGAAATCACACCCCGCTTCTTGGCGAACTGACTCCTGGACCTCCCGGGAGCGCTTCTGCAGCAAACCTGGGTGGGTTCGAGCAGGGTCTGTAGCAACGCACCTTCCTCCCAAAACGTGGTGGTTCAGCGAGGCTGATCTGACATGATGCCCGTCAGAGCATCCCTGGTGCGTGTGTGCACCCGGAGCCTCGGGAGGCTGCGGGGAGTGTGACCGGCCACGCCGCCCGTTCTGATCAGTGCCGGGGAACCGTCCTGGCTCAGCACGAGAGCGCGGCCAGACTACTGACATCGCTGTCCACCCAGCAGCCCATGCACTCGACTAGACCACATCTAGTTTTGCTTTCTGATGAATTCAGTTCCTTGCTTGAATGCTGAGTCTTGAGGGTTTGTAGCGCAGCCTTCAAATATAGTCCGAAGGCAAAAGCTCAGCAACTGACCGCAGCTCTGGCTGCGCGGGTCTGGTACGCGCGTGCTCTGAGCAGAAATACCGACGCGCGAGCAGACCCCGGTGACGGGCTTGTCATTCCTGGTGTTACTTGCTTTAACTCGTAACTAACACCCACAAGCAGCCTCGCACCAAACCAGCCATGCTGAACCTGTTACAAACTGGGGTGCGGACGAGGGTTTCCAGCTTGTGCCGAGCGCTCACCTCCTCGCAGGTGCAGGTCGCTGTCCTACTGGAAGTAGGAGCCTCCAGAAGTCTGCAAGCCAGGCGGGTGCTTGAGGCTGCTGGGCTCAGGCTCTCTGGAAGTACCTTGTGTTTAACTTTGGACAGACCTGTTCCTTGCATTTTCAGTAATAAATTCAAGTGTTTACACTGAAATCACAATTGCATATGAATGCTGCTATTTTGTTTTGCACTGCTATGAGTAGTAACTGGATTTTGCTTACTAAATATTACTCTAGTATTTAACATAGGGGTGTTTTGGCTAGTAATTTATTTCATGTTTTAAAACTTGACTTCCAAAACAATTGTGTTGACCTGTTCTCTAAAACCTTGTGCTATATCTGACATGTTTTCTGTTTGCTTTGTTTTAAAGAATGCAGACCATTCTCATTGTAATGGGGTATTTTCTTTGCTGCTCTGTTAGTAAAATGACAGTAGGAGACTGGCCTAGAACAGATCCAGTTATTAATCTAAGTGAAACCTGAGTGAGGAAGCAACTCTGAGGAAGCACTGTTCTGTTGCTTTCTGATCCTTTTCTTTTTTGATTTAAGTCCTGTATCGCTGATCTTTCTTGGTCCTTCACCAGGTGCAAATGTTGGCCCGTAGCTGCGTGCTGTCTGTGGGGGGGTGGATGTGCAGCTCCAGCTCCGTGTTCCCGGAGCAGCATTCTTGTTTGTGTTCGTCCTCCACTCCCTGCTATGTCTCTCTGTACAAATAAAAAGCTAAGTAAACAACCCAGGACTCTTATTTATTCATGGCTGTTCTATTTGCTGATAACTCATTGCAGCTTTACGAAGGGAGGAGGCAGTCCCGTTTCCCACCCGATGTTCTCGCCCCCTTTGTGGTGCGAGGGAAGGGGGGCAGGACAGCAGCGCGATAGAACAGCTGGGGGAAGCCCCTGCTCCCATGGGTGTTTGTTAGCAAGGAACTGGTAACAGTAAACTGAAAATGAAAGCTCATCCTGCCACTGTAGTGCAGTTACCAGCAGCTGTTAACAGGCCAAGTTTGGTTAGCTCAGTGCTGAAGACTGATTATTTTGCATCAAAAGTCAGCCAAAGCAGTGCAAGAAGGATTTCCAAATTAAGTGCCTCACAAGTTATTGTTGCATGTAGCTTAACTACTTGAAACCGCAGTCCAAAGAACATCGAGTAGTGCATGCTTGGTCTCACTTCCAGGAACAGAGACAGGCACAGAGCACCAACACTCTGGAAATGGTGTCAGTCTGAAGAACTTTTAAATAGCACCATTTAAAGACAGTTATAGTTCTAGAACAAACTGGAGGTATTTGTAACTCTGCTGCTTTCCTGCACAAGTCTCAAGCTTCCTTGGAAAGAGCAGTTGGACTCAGCTTTTATACAGCATTAAAGACAGTATGTGACCCTCTGCTGCTCTCCTGCCTCAAAAGGTACATATGGAAACTAGTCAAGAGCACTGAAGTGACATTGAAAAGGTCAGAAAAATGTTTCCAGGGATTATGTGTCTCAGACTAAACCAGAGCTACCTTTAAAGGCACATTAGTTTCACAGATGATATCAATGTCTAAAATTGCTACCAAAAGGCAGATAAGGGTTAAAAGACTCCAGTTACTGTGTTGGAAAAAAATACTGGTGTGTGAGGTGTAACATTGTGGGTATCTTTGTTTTTCCCTCCAGCACACACACAGGATCAGACATCACTTGTTACCCATGTAGCATAAAATGTGAGCTGGGGTTTAAGAACAGCACCTGATTCAGGGAAGCAGAGCCTTCTAGTTTAGATGAAATGATGCAAATGGCACAGAAAGAAAAAAAAAAACAACAAACCACCCACCACTCCACAAACACTTTTTTTTTTTTTTTTACAGTCCCAGCCTAAGAAGCAGGAGCATAACAAAACTTGAAGTGAAACTGCTCACTATTCTTTATACTATAAAAAACAGAGAATGAGCCAGCTTGAAAAGAGCTATTCCCCCCTTGCAACCTTTGAAATGCTTAATAGAAAACAAGCAACGTCAGACAGATGGTTTTGTAAAGGCAACAGCACTCTTTATTGCCACTGGAGGAAAAGAACAGTTTCATCTCCTACCTCACAACTTTGTCAAGAGCTCAATGCAAGGCTTATTCCCTTTTTTTTTTTTTTTGCAACTGTGAAAGTCACAGTAATCCCCTTGTCAAAGAAAGATGCGATTCCAACATAGACCACTGCTACTGTGCAAGACAGTCAACGTTCCTGCAAACACCACAGAAGCGATTTAGGGATGCAAGCTGTATCACTAAACAAAAATGGTGCAGTTATACCAGTTCTAGTGTACACTGAAGGAATTTTAATCATTTGCTATGTGAAACAATGGATTATTGGTTTAAAATAGGGTTCCACGTTACCAACCACCTCACTGGTTATGATGAAGTCCATTTAATAGTGATTTTATATTGGTTAATAGTTGGTCACACGGAACCGCCCTGTTTTGCCCAAGGAACAAGTGCAGGATTAGGTAGCAAGATCAGACCATATGTACCATGGGTTCTTCACACTTCTGCCAGCCAGAACAGAGGAATATTGCTCACATTTAACTACGATAAGGCTTTCCTGTGGATGTACGTTGTGTACTTGTGGAGCGCACTTGAGAGTCACAGTGTAAGTACTGTAAACACTGACAGAAGTGCAGATAAAATAGCTACAAATACATCGTATGATGAAAGACCTGAGGAAAGCTGGTTAAAACATACTTGTGAATTGTTACAATACCATTGTTATGAGTGTAGTCATATCGGCTTGTTTTAAAATCAATAAAAATATTCAGATAAAAAAATATATGTATTCACAGGAAGGATGAGCATTTGAATTTTAAAAAGCAACACACGTTTCCCTTTCAGATGACAGAATTAAAACTTATCTTCCAATAAGTATACATTAAAATTTCACCTGAATTTTTTTCTGTTTGAATTTAGCACCCACACACAGGCATGCACTCATACACACACCCCAAGTGATCGCAAAGAAGCACCTGTATCTATCGCTTATTTTCTTGCTGCCCTCTGACGACGGGAACTAGCTGGTTTTGAATCACTGCAGAAACCACTACTTTACTAGCCAGATGGTCCCATTTTAGGATCTAAAATTTTACTGGCTACTTGTTTTGTCCTTTTTTCAGAAAGCACTAGTTTAATCTTGAGCTTGGATTAGCTGTTCAAGTATAAAATTATCCCTCTTAAGCAGGAGCACATGATAAAATCTCAATAACTAGAGAAGAGATAATCACATATAAACAAAACTAACAGAAAACATCTGTCTGCAAGGTACACTGTCAGCATGAAGAACTACCATATGTATGGATATGCATAAAGATACTCTTCCATGTAACAACTGGAAGAAACAGACAATGGCTTTGAATTATTCAGAAATGACTAAGCAGATGTATATTTCTTTGGTAAGTAATGAAGTTTCCCCTCCTGAACTCCCCATAAATCAGGTTTTCAAGCTTTACTGCAATCCTGTATTCTGATGCCTAACAAAATTTCCATCTGCTCTTCAATAAATACGTTTAGATAAAAACTCTTCCTTCAAAGCTAAGACTGCATGGTTGGGGAGCCAAATGCAGAGTCCCATGACCCGAAACTCCATCAAACAAAAATAAAACAGCTTTTTGTAGCTGACGATGCCAACTTAGAAGGCAGGTGAAATGTTTACTTAGGCAATCCAGGAGTGGTCTTCAGACTGATAGCTCTGAAAGCCTTCAGCTTGATGCAGATTCGGTCATCCTTATTTCAGGAGGTCGCTAAGGAGTTATTTCTCCACAAGCGAAAGCCGTAAAACTTGCTGAAGCTCTGCATCTTCCTCTTCACGACGTTGCTTCTCCCGTTCCTCCTGCTCCCGGACAGACAACTCCATGGCAAGCTGTAAGTCTTTTTCAAAACTGGAAGGTTCACTGGGGGTGCTGCAGTGTGAGTTACCTGAGCTTGTTAGATAGCTCTCCTGCAGTGCCCTGAAGGAGAGAAAGAACTTCAAGAAGTAAGAGGGACAGAGCCTATTTCACACTTCCTGCAATGACCCTTCCCAGCAACTGTTTTCTAACTGCAAACCTGAAAATCTCTCCGCAGAGGGCAGAAAGCGTTTTTCAGCATGAGAGAGCAGTTGTTCTAACATCCATAAAATTCCCAATGTTAAACCTGTTCTTTGAAGGTTCCGTGGAATCTTTCATACATACCAACAGTTAAATTTTCAATGGGCTTCGCAAAGCATTCTCACCTACTTTAAAAGTGACGTGATTTTCCACGTACAAAAGAACCACAAGGATGCAGTTCTTTGTGTGCACAGAGATTTCTTTGCACTTAACTGCAGGAAGACCCCACAGATACCAAAGCATATTCTCAAGGGACCATTAAATACATGTTGCTAAATTTTTAAGGGTCACATAATGATTTTGAAAAGAAAGAAGAGCTACCCTAAAGTGTGCAGCATGTAATAAACAAACATTCAGCCCAGAGGGACCAAATTCACAGTTTTAAGAGCAGAACAGAAGGACCGTGTTTATTTGTTGGGTAAAGAATTGTTATGTGCGCAGACCAGTCCCACAGCCGAGCTAAAGAGCTATGCTATATAAACCAGAAAAGACCCAGTTTAGAGCCCTTGCTTCTTGGAAAAGTAGAAGTTTAAAGAAGCACAAGAAAAGAGACCTTGAGTTCTGTGCATCCTGCTACCTACAGACACAAAAAACTGCAAAATTGTTTCATGCTACTGTTGGAAGCATTTTGTTCTGTCACTGCACGGCTTGATGTGAAAAAAAGTTAGTTACCTCTGATACTGTATATTGAAGTCCTGTGAATATGCAACTGCTCCATTGGACTGCACCCCCACTTCCTAGAAATGGGGAAAGACAGACAATTCCACAGCAGTTAACAGATCTGCAGTGCACCTCACCGAATGGTAACACTTAAATCACTCTTATTTCTTCTTTAGAATACATTACTATGGTTTTCCTTCTGATGTTCTTAAAATAAATACGTCCTATGCTGGTTTAATTCAGAGATGTAGCTATTGCTGCAGAGTCCTGGCAAAACGGTCAGATCTGCACTGCACAGATTACAGTACACTTACTTTATTTCCACCGGATTCCAACAAACTCTGCTGAATAGCAAACTGCATGATCTCATTATCTTCATCCTGCACGTGTATATTCCTGCCATCATCTTGGATGTGGTAAGATTTGGGGATCTCAAACACTGACTGGTCAACCTCAAAATTAGCGCCTACAGAAGCCAAATATAGTTACAAACATGGCATAGTATAGTTTTTACAAGTTATGACTTAAAAAATTCTGATGAATGTTTATGCATGATTAACTCCAAAAATTCAGATAAACCACCTGGCTAAATATACTAATAGGCTTTGAAAGACTTCTGTGGCAAACAAGCACAGCAGCAAGACAGAATGCAGAGTCTTTCTTCAGGATGCCGGCAAGTTATACGAATAAAAGGTGGCTGAACTCTGACAAAACCAGATGGGGGAAAAAAACAAAAGTTGCAAAAGATAAATACTGCAATGACTCTTCTGAGGTTATTCCTAATGAGGTGGGTCTGCAACAGCTCATAAGATAGAGTATCACTGGATATATGCCGTCATCAGCATCCTACTCAAACGTAACCCGCTCTTTTCTGAAAGAGCATGCAGATTTAGCTGTCAGTTAACAGCAATTTTGTATTCCGCTTCCCACAGCAATAGCTTGCACCAGAATTTAGACCTCAAAATACTTGGGAAAGTTTGCTGGAGCTCAGTTTAGTCAGTCTGGCAGGCACGGAAGGGGCAGAATGGGTCAGTATGAGCAGTATCACACACTCCAGAGCAGCTGCAATGCCTGGAACACTATCCAATGCATTGCAGCTTCCTCTCGCCTGTGAATGCTTCATTCTCTGCAGTTAACCCATCTCTCTCTTCCATGCATTCCACAGACAGAAATGTAAAAAGATGGAATCACCACATCTTTCCACTCCTTACCTGAATCACACTGTGCACCTCCAACCATTTGTGACGATGTTTTGTCAGCTGTCCTGCAGCCATTGACATTTTCAAATGTAATTCGAGCATTCAGCACATGAAATAGGGGAATTTCTGTAAGAAAGAATACAAAATTTCAGTCAAAAAGAGAACACTCTCGTTCACTTCCACACCTACAGACACATCAAATCCCTACATGTTTATTGAATATATTCCACAAGCAGCATCCGGTAACCACAAAGTGTATAGTAACTCACTGCACCGAGAAGTTACCCTTAGTCATTCTCTCTCTCTCTAAATCTCTTATTTTATAACAAGATTTGCCAAATCTAAGGCATCCAAGCTAAGAGGAAAAGAGTAGCAACAGCTCATTCTTACTGAAATGATAGTGTCTTTAAAGTAAAACTTCTCTACTGGTCATTCAGAATTTGGATTCAATTAACTCAGATGTACAAGACAATGTACATCTGGGTTCACAGTTCTAGATAGCAGTGAGATGACTAGTAAAAAACTAACATGTTTTTCATAAATATATGCTGCAAAACCAATAGAATGAATGGAAATGAAGAAGATGCTACAATCAAAATTGCTAAATATTACCAATTTTGACAGGAAATCCTGGTGGAAATTCCAGAGTGATGAAATCCCTAAGCCTGGCAAAATGCGCACTAGTTCTGGCCATCAGATCAATGATTGGCGTGACTTGTTCCATAAGAGACAAGGGAAACTCTTCACTCATCCACAAGGTTGCTTTAAATCTTAAAGAGAAAGTTGCATAAAAGCATCTTAAGTTTACAGTTTAGGAACAGATGTAAAGCAAAATACACAGCACTGTCACCCACTCCATACATTTCAAAGAGTCAGAACAGCTACTGCTCTGAGAAACCGAATCACATTACAGGTCAGACTAAAGGCAAAGCACAGGAGGTTACTAACAAGTTACAGCACTACTCCAGCTTTTTTCTTTAACTTAGTGGAAGAAGAATTAGACGATAGCTGAATGCTTCAAGATCTCTCTTTTGATCGATTTTGAAAGCTGGGGGAAAACCACACTGGGTAAGAATCATTTCCAGAGATTAGACGATTAGGAACAGACAAACTAGAAATAGTGAAAAGTTTTATTTCTCACTTCTGCGTTCGAATGGTGACTTCTTTCGGTCTTCCTATATCTCTACCTTTCAAATCAAATTCTGGGTCAAAGTACTCCTCCAGAGTGATAGCAGTAGGATTGTTACTTGTGGCATACTCTGTTGTCTTGGTCGTACTCTACACGGAAAGAGAGAAAAAAAAAAAAACAAACCACAAACCCACAAAAGTATGAAACAAACAGACAGTGGCAACCATAAGAATCTTTTAGTTTACCTCTTGTGAAGTAACTCATTCTCTATTTTAGACACCAGTGACACACTGATATAAATAAATGTACACATGTGTAGACTGCTTTCTGTTGAGGTTAAAAATCTCCAAGCATTGTAGAGACAGGAAATTCTACTTAAATAGTTTAAAGCTAGAAACCACCCAGCAATGCACACACCAGCTACAGCATTCCTAGGCTCCAAATCCTTTATTAAAGGGCAAACTTTGATGGGGTATTTTAAAGAAAAATCTCTAGATCCACGAAAGATCTGCAACGCCATCCTGATACAGAGCCAGCAGTTTGCAAATCTATTATCTACTTAAGTACATACAGGCGCAAGGGAGTTCCTAAAGCCATACTGAAATCATTATCAACCCGTTTCAGAACGGCAGAGAATATATGGCTTTCCCCCGAGTCACTTCACCCTCCCATCGTATCTTTGTCTGATGATCACCATGCTAGCACTGTCTCCTGCCTGAGGCTCCTGCAGGTCTGTGGACACGTCTTCCCAGATTACCGGTGGGTTGCTGCTAAGATCTGTGCTTGCTCAGATTTACTGTCACTGCTCGCACCCCAGCTCTTGCTGTACTAACGGATTCTACGCCTTTTTCATATGAGTGTTCAGGAGGTACCTGCTATTCATACAGAACATTTGAGGGTTTAAAACAAACAAAATCATCCTCAGGGAAAATTTAAGCCTCATAATCAAAATTGCAGCCAAACTAAGGAAACAAGAGGTAATTCCACACACCTAGAATTCCTATTGGCACAGATCTCTGCGTTGCAGCGATCTGTTTTGACATCAAAGACACTCACCTGAGCACCATACTCATGTTCCACTGTACCCAGAAATGATTCCAGTGGGTTCCTGTCAGCTTCAGATAACAGGAGGGAAAAAACAACAACAAAAAAAATCTATTACTATTAATTAGCAGTAAAATTTATGTACACACTGTGCTGACAATCAACACTTCTAACACGAAGTGAAGTAAGCAGTTCGCACATCCCGTAGGCTTTACCACGCAAGCCTAGGACCTACAGCTGACAGTATAAAACAGGTACAATACCCAGAATAGACGGAAAGATTTTCAGTGGCTTCTATCATTAGCATACAGCTTTATTAGTCACAGTGCCTCTCCTCCTGGGTCCCCAGGTTGGCCAATGAAGGGCAGCGATGCCAAACGAGGTTACTGGCTGGTCACCCTTTAGTTTAATTACTAGAAGAAATTAGTGGATCAAAACAAAATAAAAAGTCCACGCAAACAAAGCCCACATGAATCTTGTGATCATGGCCAAAGCAAAGGAAAGGCATGGATACATTCCAAAGCAGGAAAAAGCCCAGAAAAGTGCAGCCTTTTAAAGTTTGCAATAAACAGTTTTGAAGAGCTCTTCTTTCCTCTAAATACAGCTAGGATAAATACTGGTTCACTTGTAGGTTAGGAATCAGGTAATGAGCTACCTCAGACACAGAACATGTGAAAGTAAAGCAGGGCAAAGTCAGCAAGAAAAGTATTTCCCTTGTCTATCTGCCCAGTTCTTCTGCAGTCACACAGAGAAGGTATCAGAGAGCCAAAAGGTTCTACTTATTTCCAGTTATCATATAGGAAAACTACCTTTGTATCTTTTCTTCTCCTCTTCTGTTAAATGTTCCGTTCGGATTTTTGTGACCACATTCACATTGTTTGCAATGTATACCTTTAAAAAAAAAGAAAAAGTACAAGGACAAAACCCAAGAAGCATCACAGGTAAAAAAAGAGAGTTCTCTAGTAAAACGCTACATACAGAAAATCTAAAGACAGAATAAAGCAGCACAGATCTGATTCATCTTTAACATACTGGTGATCAACAGGAAATGTTGCATTTTCATTTTTCTATTCGCTTGGATGTAATGGAAATTCCACATAATATATTCTCAACAGACCTATTCTAAGGCTGAAACTACATGCCACCTGCTGGACAAGTTGATAAAATAAGAAATCCTGCAAATCATACACCACAGTATCTCCAGAGAGCATTAATCTCACAGACATCCTGTGCCCAAAGAACGGCAAAGGAGTTTGGCCATTGACTTTGACGGCAACAGAAGTCAGCCTTTCAACCGAGCTCCTGGAAAGCAGATTTACACACTTTGAAATACACTTTTGTAACTAACTAAACCAACCTCAAAACTAGGCAGGCATTTCCAAGCTTGCTGGAAAGAATTCCCTCATGGGCGGAGATTTTAAGGAGAACAGGGAAGGAAAGTCAGATAATGCTATTTCTAAACAGAGGTCACTTGTAAGGCCTTCCAAATGAAATGTAGTGGTAGTTTAATTCTGCAGGAACATTAATGAACGCCAACGCCCAAAAGAATAATCCTGCAGTCTTATGAGAAAAACCTTCATGTAAATGTAGAAAGCTATTCAGTATTTATTCTTTCATTAAATGAAATTACAAAACGTAGTTTATTGCACAAATTCCAAAAGCTGGAGTAAACAAAGACTTATGAATCAGGGAGGTTAATTCTTGTGATTCTTAACTTACATTGCTAAACCAGTAAAAGGCTGTAAAGCCATGTTCAAAAATATTTCACTGAAGTGAAATGGAAGACAAAAATCAGTGTCACATGGAACAAATCTAAGCAACGGCATGACTCATGAGCATGGTCAAGGTCTTTGATTTACCAGCAGGGTTTTATTATTTGAATTCAGGATGCAACCCACAGCAGTAGGAGGCTGTTATTTCCTTGCAATACTGTCACCAGAGTGCTCAAGGCACTTCACCAATGTGTTCCTCGGCTTTTAAACAGTGGAAGAATGACAACACTCAAGAATGAGTTAAATTTCAGTTTTTGGAAGGGAGCTCTAGCAGTTATGCTGAATCTTTTGCCCCTCTTCTTCTGAAATGCCTTGATTCTCCCTCTCCCCTAAAGCCCTTGCTGATGTTATGGCACCATCCCTCCCTCAAGCTTGGCAGCCTTGAGGTTCCTCACTCCTGCCCAGTTCTGCTGGCAACACAATAAAGCTCTCAATGGGAAGTTTAAAGCCTGAAATATTCAGGAAATAAAGGCAAAACACAATCACATTTCAGTTAGCTACAAGATCTCTTAATAGAATGGAATGGACTTTACCTTTGCTTCATAACCATTTACACCTTCCGCCTTTTCTGTCCTCCACACCCAGAATCCAGATGTAGTTCTGACAAAAAGTGAACACCACAAGTGTCTGTACAGTTGCATTTCTACACAATCCCCAGCCCATTTTTCTAAAATTGATTGTAAACAGCATTCGATAGGTCATTTGATTATTAACCCCAGACAAAAGCACAGGTCAATCTGTCCTCACACACGCATCTCACAAGCGGCTGAGGAAGTCATGCCATCACTGTTCTCATTCAGCCTGCAGCCAAAGCGCAAAGGCTCAGGCAGAGATTTTGGGTTGAGACGTGGATACCTGAGCCTCAGAGGAGGACAACCTAAAAACTTACTGAATTATTTTGTTGGACAGCCTGGGCACAGCAGCTTTTAACACATGGTTTAATTTCAAAAGTAACCTGTCACTGCAACTTGGGGAATTGGATAGCAGAAATACTTCTGCCTAAGAAATCTTAGTTTCTGGATGTGTAGATGCGGCAGTTACTAAGGCTCAGTGAACATCACAGGGACCAATTCTGGGCAACTTTGACAGGGTATCAAGCATTCAGGAGAAAGATGCTGCAATCATACATCTCACTTTGAAAACACTTGTTTTGTACGATCATGGGGGGGGGGTTACTGCATCACAGAGTGCTCCAAAAGGAGCTTCGTGAAAAAGATTGTTTGAGCTAAGCTGACAGACACCTGGATAAACACAGAAGACAAACGTGTGTCTGTGGAAAGACACACTATACACATATTTTTATTTAAAGTATCAATGTGAATTTGACTGACTTAGCTATGAGATGCCAGTTCTTGCCCATAGTTTCAGCACTATCCGTACGGATTGAGGTGAAATGCAAACTTGTAATGAGACATTGACACTGATCTCACCGATATGCTAAACTGGAAGCTTGCTTTCTGCAAATCAGTTCTTTCAACTGGAAACTTCTTGCCAAGCAATAGTGGCGAGCTGACCAAGCCAAATTTCTTTACCTAACGGTACGTAAAGTTTAAAGCAATTTCAGATCTAGCCTTAGAAGTTTCTATTACCAGGGCTTTTGAGAATTTGCCTTTAAAGCTTTATTGCAAGTATAACCATCCATAATCTTGAAGTGTTTATTTGTTACGAGAAACTTTGTATCTTACCTTTCAAAAGCAATATTTTTTGTATCAAGGCACGTATTAATAATTGGAGACGTAAGGCGCCTTTCCACATCTTTTCTTTTTGGTGTCATAGATCCCAGTGTCAAACGTTTCATGTGTTGGGAAATCTCAAAACGCTCCGTTGTAACAAACTTATCATCATGATTTATCTCAATTAGCTCTGCCCAACCTCCGGTATCTGTTGGAAATGGTACATCTCAATCGAAAAAACTTAGCAATGGTATTCCAGAACGAAAAACTGAGAATATACTGTATATCAAATCAGGGTGTTCGCTAATTCACTGTATTTTGGACTCAGCTGAGATCAAATTTGGAGCTGTATCTAAGATTATTTTTTATTTAGGGGCAGGAGAACAGAAAGGGGAAAACTAAGTAAAAGACTGAAGTAAAATTTTAGCCCTATTACCAAATTTTGACCTCAGATTTACTCAAAGAGATGACATTAAGTCATTACATTAAAACACGAAAGAGTATCTCTGAGACACACTTGCAGAATATACGTATAAAAACTTCTACAAAATTCAGTACTCAGCCTCAACAGATCTTTTTGTGCAAAATTGAGATTTCTCGTAGTGGCTCATGTAGTATTTGGTGATGAGTGGTGCACACATGCTAAAATATTTACCTTCTCCCTTGAAAATTAAACTACGCCTTCCTCTCTCCCAGCTCATATTTTCAAAGCCCAGCAAAGTGATATCAACACGCAGCTTGGCACCACTTTTCCAGATGCGGCAGACGTCACTTGGACAAACTCTAGAAACCAGTGGGACTGCAAAAGAAAATGAGAAAAATGTAAATAAAAATATTTAGGAGACAAAGGGCACAGGAAGTGTGAACTCAAGCAGAAGCTATATCCCTGATACAGGACTGCTGATTGTTATTCCAGAGGAGGTGAGATACCAGTCCTCTTTAGCTTTACGAACAATAGGGACAAAATCCACCAACTTTAATTTAAAGATGAACATGAAAAGGAAGAAGACATTAGAGTTCAGACTAAAAGATGTGAAATGACACAAGCCCATCTCCTAGCAGCCTAATAGCTGTTTGGAAAATTCAGCCAACTGTGGGGCCTAGCATCCATTCCTTTAAAAGAAAAGCAGGTGCTTCCCAAGTAGCTTATGCATCTGTATGTGAGAGATGTATCACTGTCTTAGTCATCAGTAGCCAGAGAGAGGTAAACAAAACCCCAAGAAGAGTCTTCAGCAATTCTAACAATGGCTAAACTCAAACTTTTTGTTGAAAAACAAACAAAAAAAACCCCAACAAACAAACCAAATAAACAGAAAACAAAGAATAATTGTGCAACAAAAATATAAGAGGGTATTTTGACAGGTGAAGAGATAAGTATTCTGGGGAGCAGAAACTTCTCTGCATGTCTTTTGTGACATTTGTAGATAAGCCAGTTCCTTTGTCTACAGTTCAGAAGAGGTGACAATGACCAGAATTCTTACCCCAGCTAGTGAACTCCCATTTCATTTCCACATAAAAGTCAGGAGTCTGGAAAAAGAAAATACTTTATGAACGCTTCATGAAATAGTTTTAATCTAGCACGCAGTACAACATTTCTCATGAACATTTTAGATAAAGGAAAACAACAACAACAAAAAAAGAACAGAACTGGAGACATGATAAATGAACGTTAAAAAAATGAAATTGAAACTAACAAACATACAAGACATTGGCCTACCACTGCTGCTTTCTGATGAGCTTTTCTTCCTTATTTTACTATAGTAGCAGTAATACCTTCAAGATTCAGCCTCCAATGCTGGAGTTCATGACTAAGAATTTCAAAGCAAAGTCAAGGAAAAAGTCTCCATCTTCCACAACACCACGGAATATGCAAGTTGAAATGAGGAACACAATTGCCCATCTGATTTCAGTTTACGTAACTGAACTATTTGAATGAGAATTGCAGTCTGGAGTAAGAGGTTTAAACTAAACAATTACCTCATTAATCTTTTGGAGTAATTCCGGAACTCCTCCAAGTGTCATAGAGGTCTGCTGGTAGTCCCGATGCTGCAGAATCATTTGTACCATCTCTGGATCTCCTGTACTGACAGCCTCATGTAAAACTGAAAGAAATCCAGATACAAGCTAGTTTCAGTTTGCTTTCTGAGCAAAATACACAACATAAAAGCAGTCAAAATACAGTATCTGCAACTGAGAAGTATTAACACATGGCTTCTGTTTTCCAGGTTATCTTTACCTGTCCATCCCTGTGCATTCTCTTTCGTTACGTCCGCCTTGTGTTGAAGGAGGACTTTGGCAGATTCTATATAACCCAAGGAAACAGCAAGGTGCAACAAGGTCCGGCCTCGTGGATCACGTTGATCAACATCCTGTTGAGTATCCAAGAGACAAATAATGCTGAAGCTGTCCTGTCAAATGCAACTAATCAGAGCACGCTGAGAAGAGTTTATATAAACAAAGCTTGTCAGTAGTAATCCAGGAGTCAACATTCCCTAGGTATTCCCACGTATCGGTCTGTGGGGCACAACCGACTCAGTTTTCAAGCACCCCGTACAGTGCAGCCTTACTGCCCCACTGGAATAAAAAGAGAAGCAGAACAGGGCCTGTAAAACCGACATGGTATCACTGTAAGACATGACTGAGTTCTTGTTGATGCTTCTCATTTCTTTTTCTGTAATTATTTCCCCTTCTGTCTCCCTTCAGAAGGGCTCTTTCAGGAGAAGACAGTTCTAGTCTGCGTGCATTGCACCATGGACAGTCAACAGCCTGAGAGACCAATAGAGGGTTTAATATTATACAACACAATGGGGGGGAAGGAAAAAAAAAAAAAAAAAGTAGTAACAGGGCGTACAACATCAATTTTGTATAGCACTTGTTCAAAGTAGAGAAGCAAATGGTATTTTACAAAGCATCCATTCGACTGACACACACAGCACAATGAAGAGTGAGTGCATTTTGTACAAGTCACTAAAAAAAAGAAAAAAAAAAACTACGCAGGCATAAATATCCAAAACATGCAAGCACAACATACTCATACCTTACTTATTTTTCACTATTAGCTTAGAGATTTGAAACAGAAGAGCATCTATAACTAAAGGAAAAGGGGAAAGTCAATAGCAGAATAAGAAAGGAAAGTTATTATGCAAGTTAACGCGGTTATCTGACAGCATTAAGTTGGAAAGATCACACACAGATTTGGGAAAGCTTCATTTTAAGGCATTTTCTTTTTGCTTCTGTGGTGGAATACTAATTAATTTGCTTCCCCACGTCCTACAGCTCCAATGCTTACTGCACTGACAGGTAAAGGACTTTAAGGCATCCCTCCCAATTGTCTGCTGCTTTTAACCGGTAACCACACATTCTACCCATCCTCTGCCATACCAAGTGCAGCAGGCAAGTGTCTTTTGATTCCCTCACGCAACCCTCCGACAGCAAGAAGCTTATCCCAAGGAAGCAGGAGGAAATATATCTTTGGAATACTTAAAAAAAAAAAAAAGTAGTTATTTAAAGGCAGGTAAAGGAAGTAAGAGACAGATATTCCATCTTAACACGTTGCTCATATCCTTACAGTATAAAGCGTTTCAGGTAGGAAGCAGCACTTCACAGGTTTGAACTGCAGTCTCAGACTAACAAGAAGCAGAGCGATCCTTATTTAATTACAAACTTTCACAGACGAGAACACTATTGAAATAGAAATAAATACACAGAAGCAACGTGCCAGTAAGGTTAAAGATTTTGTTAAGGAATAAGATCACATGACTTAGATAAAGAGTAACTGCATTCCAAAGACTCTCCTAAAAATAGGACAGGAGCATGCTCTAAGCAAGCATTAGTAAATTGTGGTGTACCGTTAGAATTGCAGATGATCGTCACTAGTCAGGAGGTGACACAGCTGATCTTTGGCTCATATACTTGTGGTGTCAGGTATAATGTAATTAATATGCTCTGCTTCTGCAAACTCTACTCCACACTAGTGAATGTCTGAGCTTTTACACAGCATCTCAGCAAGACGGATGTTTGCTGCTCCAGCTCTGCTGCAGCTTTTCAGACCATTTCCTGACGTCATTACCATTTCTCGCTTAGCTGTCCCAGAGAGGGAACAGCTTTGTATTTTTCTACTCTACAGCATGAAACAATGATCCTTTTTTTTTTTTTTTTTTACCAGAGATCCTGAAAACATTCCAGCCAGTATAAAAATGCTGCCCCCACAGTCTTGGACTGCAACGAAGCCGTAAGAACTGCTGGTCCTCAGCAAGCTAGAGGCTGGTTTAATCTTCAGCAGCAGCAGTCACCTTTGCTGCATGTTGACTTCCCATTAAGGTAAACAGTATTTATTGCTTTTCTGGCACAGAAAAAAAATTAATGTCCATCGTATCCGGCCTTCCTCATACGTTTCAATGACTCCTAATACTTTCTAAAGAGCAATTTTGCAGCCTGCACTCAAATGCTCTGAGCGCAGTTTTACAGATAAGAAGTCAACGTTTAATATCTTACATAACAAAAAGTATATTCCTATGCTTCCTTACATCACCCCCGCAACCACAAATAAATAGGAAAAGAAGCGCAGCAATCCCACGAGCCCAGCACGCAGACCCGACAGTGCCATTAAGGTTATTTCTCCCCAGAAAGGCGGTAAGCAGGAGGCACCAAGCCCCGTACCACGGCACAAGCTCTTCTGGGGCCACTAGCCCCCCACCAGCCCCCCAGCTGCCCGGCTGTCCGGGTTACCTTGTCCTGCAGCTCCTCGTCCAGCCGCCTGTAGTCATTATTCCAGACCAGGACGTGCAGGGGAAACGCGGTGCTGGCCCTGCCAGGGGAACTCATCATGCCACACACCTGCAGAGCCGGGGAAGCAGGGGGCCTACCCTCACCGGTCCCCCCTCTCTGTTTTGGAGACCCCAGATTACTCACGCCCT